GTCCCCTGTGTTAAATTCACAAGGGTGGAGGGCTAGGCACTTCCTCGTGATGATCTGTGTGATGATCTGCCTCGTGGTAGCATCATGAGATGAGCCTGTCGGTGTTTCCTTTGTGAGCGTTTAATTCCTTGATGCTTATATTCAGAGAAAATGCACGTATTGTTTCGTGGTCAAAACTCCAAAACTCTCTATTGGTTTCTTTTTCTTTTTTTTTTTTTTTTTTTTCGTTTTTCAAGACAGGGTTTGTAGCTTTGGAGCCTGTCCTGGAACTTGCTCTGTAGACCAGGCTGGCCTCAAACTCTCAGAGATCCGCCTGGCTCTGCCTCCTGAGTGCTGGGATTAAAGGTGTGCACTGCCATCGATGGTTTCTTACAGGTTTGCTGTTGAGGCATATATACAACAGTAGTGTGAACTGAGCACCGTAACCTGAAATCCAAAAGTACAAAACAGGCATGTCATCATAAGTGGAGGGGTGAACGAGGTGTCTCTCTCATTCAGGAAAGTGCTTATCTCCAAAGCATGAGGACCTGGGTTTGAATCCCCAGCATCCAGATAAAAAGCTCGGCATGACAGTATGGGCCTGTAACCCCAGCACTTGGGGTGTGGAGACAGGAGGGTCCTGAAGGCTGCTGGCCCACCAGTCTAGCCAGGTTGTTGAGCCTCAGGTTCAGGGAGAGCCTCTGTCTAGAAAGTAGGTGGAGTACAATGCAGGAAGACACCTAACTTCAACCTCTGGCCTCCACACATGTGCCAGTGCACACATACATGTGTAACTACAAGAATAAAGAAAAATTAAAACCAAGTGGGAAGTTTTTCTTCTCCTCATTCTATGTAGTGGTTTGCAGGTATGGATGGGCATGGTGATATATATCTGTAATTCTGATTACTCAAGCTGGTATTTATAAAACGTATGTGAAACATAAATGAATTTTGTGAATAGAGTTATGCTCCATCCCCATATGATAGCATTCCAGATAAGGTATACTAAACCTGTAAAGGAAAATGTGTGTATGATTCATATGCAAAGCAGGATAAGAACTGTAAGAAATGCCTAGGGTGTGTCGAGTGTGTAGCTTAGCACTAGAGTGCAGGGCTACTGTGTATAAGGCCATGGGTTCTTTCTCCAGCATTTCCAGTGCAGAGAAGCTAACAGATAGTTAGGTGGAAAGCAAGGCAGACTTCACAGAAGTGGCATCCAAAAGATTCATTTCCACTCAGTCCAGCCTTTGGTGGTTTCTGCAGGTAAGGAGTGAGACATGAGCAGAGACAGGGAAGGTTTCTGGCTATAAGCACTGCAGCTGTGGCCAGCATGGAGAAGAGTCAAAGACCGAGTTGGAAAAACACACTGGGCCAGATGTATGGGCCTAGGAATGCCAGGCTGAGTAATGGTGACCCCTTACCCGGGCTTCAGGAAGACTAAGAAGCGGTATTCAAAAGTAACATGTATCTGACATGGGGCAGTAGCAGTAGGAAGTATGGCTTTAAATGATCTGTCACCTCTGTCCTTACCTGGGGAATTCCTGTCAGGCAGGACATGTGGCGCTGTCTGCATGTGGCACTGTAGACATTTCTGCCTCAATTCTGCAAGCTCCCCATGCATAGCTTCTCCCGGAGGGGCTTCTTTTCATGAGAACAACTATGCCCAAAGCTGGGGACCACACATTAGCCTTCTCCCTGTCTCCTATGTTCTCACCAAGATGCCGACACCAAACTTTTTCTTTTGTTTTATTGTTATTGTGACAGAATCTCACTAAATAGTCCTGGCTAGCCTGGAATCCTCTATGTTGTAATGGCTAGCTTCCGACTCACAGAGATCTAACTGCCTCAGCCTCCTGAGTGCTGGGATTAAAGGTGTGCACCACCAAGCCTGGCCTCAAATATTTCCTTTTAGCTGGGCGGTGGTGGCACACACCTTTGATCTCAGAACTCAGGAGGCAGAGGCAGGTGGATCTCTGTGTGTTCAAGGCCAGCCTGGTCTGCATAGTGAGTTCCAGGACAGCCAGGGTTATACAGAGACGCAAACTGACCTCAGACTCAGAGATCTACCTGCCTTTGCCTATGCCAAGTGGTGAGGTTAAAGGCTATGCTACCATACCCTGTCAAAGTTTTAGCACCAAAATATATTTTACAAATAAAACCACAGGATGTTATCTAGTGGTAACATGGCTTGTACTCATTATCCTAGCTACTTGGGAGTCTAAGACAGAATGATTGCCTAAGCCTAGGACTTTGAGGCCCAGGGCTTTGAGGCCAGCCTGGGCAACAACAGCAAGACCCTGTCTCAAGAGAACATTAAAATACAGAATACCAGCAGGATGGAATCCCAGATACTCAGTGTGTACAGGATATCAGGTGGACAGGATCCCACATACACAGTGTGTATTCTTCGGTATTAGTATGTCTCACACAGTGTGCAGGCCACACTTACGCTAGCAAACTACTCATCGTTTATCTGGATCTCCATCTTAATTAGGTATTCTGCATTTACTTTGCCAGGCCTGAGTACTGCTTTACTTCTCTGCTCCTGGCTCAAGGCTCAGCTTCCTCCCTTCCTCACCCCATTTTCTACATGAGTTGGTCTCCCAGTGGACTCAAGGTATAGGAAGAGTGTGTATTTCTCAAAAAAGGGTTAGCCTAGTAGCTTAGAGCATGGTTTCCCCAACTTAGTGCCAGGGCTTGATACCTGAACATAGGCAAGAGGACATGGGCTGTCTGTGTAGCCTACAGAAACAAATGGGAGAGAAAAGAAGAAAATTTGTTTAAATGTCGGAGGAGCCAGCAGAGCATCTGATTATAGGGGACCTTTCAGTCTTCTCTCCGGTGTCTTAGAATGTATTTGGGGCCCAGTGTTGATACCTCTGCAACCTGTGGAGTTGTCTTTTCCAGGCTCCCAACTACTCCAGTCACATCCTATAGAGGATACAATCTGTTTCTGTATCAAACTGTTTCCTTTCTTCAGAACCTTTAATCTGCTAGCATCCCTTCCTTTAAGTCTTCTTCCATCCCAGTCTGGGTCAGGGGTCCTTTTTGGTGCGTAAGATACCCAGAGCAGAGGCCCTTACGTTCCTTTCCACCTTTCCCTCGGTCCCTCCTATTCCCCCCCCCCCCCCCACACACACACACAGACAGGATTTTTCTCTGTATCCCTGGCTATTCTGAAACTCACTCTGTAGACCAGGTTGGCCTCGAACTCAGAGCTCCACTTGCCTCTGATGTACATCGCCGCCACCACCCATTCTTGTGTCTCCTGTGAACACATGAGCAGGACAAGCACCTACTCCTTTCTCAGGGTCCTCATTGCTTGGCCCTGCAGCTGTACCCAGATGTGTTGCCTGACTCCCAGACACTTCTGTTTGTCCCCGTCCCTGGGCCTGCCCACTCAGCCTGCTCTTATTGGTCTGATTAGGCCTCAAGGCTCGGAGCAGAAGTCCTGTGTCTATGCCCTCCAGTTCTAGGCTCCAGCCAAGCCCAGGCAACAGCTAGTCCAAATCAGCTGCTTCTGCCTCAACATTGTCTGTATACAACATTGTGCCTGGTGCCCTCAGCATCTCCTCAACTCTCAACACATTGGTTGCCCGTGTTGTTAGGCCTGAGAGACTATCTGAAGAAAACGGCCTGCCAAATGGTTTCGAAGATAGCAGCAGCTGCTGAGCCTGTTTAATCCTGGAACCCATGTAAAGGTGGAAGGAGAGAGCCAGCTCCATACAGCTGTGCTCTGACCTCCACATGAGTGCTGTGGCATGTGTACCCTGTCCCACCAACCCACACATACACATAGACACAGTGAAATAGTTAAAGAAGGGCTGGAGAGATGGTTCATTGGTTAAGAGCACTGACTGGCCGGGTGGTAGTGGTGCATGCCTTTGATCCCAGCACTCGGGAAGCAGAGCCAGGCGGATCTCTGTGAGTTCGAGGCCAGCGTGGTCTACAGAGAGAGTTCCAGGACAGGCTCCAAAACTACACAGAGAAACCCTGTCTTTTAAAAAAAAACAACAAAAAAGAAGAAACACTGACTGTTCTTCCACAGGTCCTGAGTTCAATTCCCAGCAACCACAACCATCTGTAATGGGGTCTGATGCCCTCTTCTGGCATGCAGGCATACATGCAGATGGAGCACTCATACCTAAAAATAAATAAATAAAATAAAAAATATTGAAAGAAATTTGTACTGACTGCCCATTCAACAGTCTCTGCCCTAGTCTAGGAGAACCTGAGACTGGATTAAAGTAGTGAAGAAAACAAATTGATGGGTATGTTCTATCAGGGTAAACAGGTTTGAAGCCTTCCACTGGGTGGAGTGTGGGAGATTTTTGATACCCTATTACATGAGGGTAGAGGAGAGAGAGACCAGTATTTGAATAGCCCTGACTGTTGCAGTTTTTGTGTGAGATAACTGGGGACAGTCCAGTCTAAGAGGGAGGGTCTCTTCATAACCTCTGTGTGAGCTCCTTCCCAAATGTTTGTTCAGGTAATACTAAAGACATCTCAAGGACAGTGATCAGAGCTAGTAATCCAGAGGGACACTTTACAAATGCAACAAAACAGTGTCTCTCCTAAGTGTTTGCATGTTTCTCTCCTCAACCCATAGTGCCAGCTTGGTTCATGGTATAGGGGAGGTCTTTTGGGATGGGCAGGTGTATGTGGGCAGCAGGGAACCACAGACCCTGGGGGAGGCTGCTTATGCTCTTGTGAATAATTCTTTCCCTATGATTAGTGGCTTGGCCTGGGAAACCTCAGCTAGCTCAGCCAAGCTGCTGCTGAACACCGCAGCTGGCCTCTACCACACACAGGGTTCGTGTGGCCTGTGGCTACTGCCTTTCATGCTGGTGTGGAACTTAGATGTTGGGACACATCTAAAAGCTGAAGTCCAGCGTCAGCCCTGAACTGCTCCTGCCCTGATGGGACTGGCACTCCAGAACAGGGCCCTCAGGGCTTGGTGGCTTTTTGCTGGGAAGCTTCACTCTGTCCTGGCCCATCCCTCATAGACCGTCTCTCTACAGGTACCTGAAGGAGTTCCGCACAGAGCAGTGTCCGCTCTTTGTGCAACACAAGTGTACACAGCATCGGCCCTACACTTGCTTCCATTGGCACTTCGTGAACCAGCGGCGCCGCCGTTCCATCCGCCGTCGGGATGGCACCTTTAACTACAGTCCAGACGTCTACTGCACCAAGTATGACGAGGCTACAGGCCTCTGTCCAGAGGGCGACGAGTGAGTGCCCTGCCTGCTCTCAGAGGAGCCCCAGGTCTCCTTCTGGGTCAGATGCCCTCAGAATAAGCTTGGTACATCCCAGGAAGCTAGCCGAGGCTGCTTTGGGAGGACTGGCTACAATCTATAGGTCAAACTTGGGCTCACCCTTGCCCTGAGTTAAAGGTACAGCAGTAAATGGGATGGCTTTCATTTCCTTTGCCTATTACATGAAAACCAAAAATCAGCCTTTCTTCCACTAAGCCCACAAGACCACGTTTGAACAGAGGTGATGCCTGGGTTTTCTTTGATCCCGCGTCCTGTCCCCACCTGCTGTGCTGTCCTGCACAGTTCCCACTGCGGTGGCAGCTTAGAGAAAGAGCTTCACTAGTTTCTCTGTTTGCTGCTCATTATCGTTTGAGACAGGGTCTCGTAACGAAGCCCTAGGTGGCCTGGAACTCACTGTGTAGGCCCAGCCAGCCTCAAATTCAGAGATGGACTGCCTCTGCCTCCCAGGGGCTGAGCTTACAGGCATGTGCCACCACACCTAGCTTATGTGCTCCCTTTAAATGTCTTGTCACAATTTTCTGTTGCGGAATAGAGTGTACCACTAATGACACATGAGGTGGCAAAGGCGGAGACGTGGCTCAGAGGGACCATCCGTGGCCTTGCTTGTCATTGTTTCAGCCTCTCAGAAGAGTGCTGGGACGCACGTCCAGGTTCTGTTGTACAGCACACTGAACTGTTCCTTCAGTGACCGACCTTTTTCACAGAGGTCCAGGCTGGTTGGTCTCCTTCTTGCAAGCCCATTAAAGCCCATGGGGCATGTGTACAAGTCTCAAGGGGCTGATTCTTGGAAGCGCCTGAGTTGGATAGCGTTTATTATTCAAACATCTGTTCATCCAGAAGTGTGTCTCCTGAAGCAGCTGTAGGCAGCAGCCTGGGGTGTCAAGCCCTTCAGATCTCAGCACTCAAGCAGAGAGCCATGCTGGCCACAGAATTCATCATTGTCTTCCTCAGTTTATTCCACTGTACCCTCTGGATCATGGTGACAGCCCTTCCACAGTTGACCTCAGGCGATGGAGCTGACTGACTTCCACTGCTGTGTTCCAGGTGCCCATTCCTGCACAGGACCACGGGGGATACTGAGCGCAGGTACCACCTTCGTTACTATAAAACTGGAATCTGCATCCATGAGACAGACTCAAAAGGCAACTGCACCAAAAACGGCCTGCACTGCGCTTTTGCCCATGGCCCACATGACCTCCGCTCCCCTGTGTATGACATCAGGTAGGCTGATGCTGGGCCCGGGGAGGGAGAGGCAAGAGCGCAGGCACCGTTGCTACTGACCTCAGCAGGACGAAAGAGTGATGGCACTTTCCCCATTCTCCCATTCCCTGTCCCACCCTCTCCTTTCCTTTTCTCCCAGGGAGCTCCAGGCCATGGAGGCCTTACAGAATGGCCAGACAACAGTAGAGGGTAGCATAGAAGGCCAGCCAGCTGGGGCTGCAAGTCACGCCATGATAGAAAAGATCCTCAGTGAGGAGCCTCGGTGGCAAGGTACAGGCAGCCTCAGGTGGCCTCTGCACTCTCCTTCCATAGCTGCCCAGTGACTTTCTAACTAAAGCTACCACTTCTGTTAGGAAGAATCTAGTCCTTTATTATCCCATTTGAAAACTTATTTTAAATATTATTTTATGTGTGCTTTGTCTGAATGTATTTCTGTGCACTGTGTGCATGCTTATGGATGCTTGTGACCCACCATGTGGTGCTGGGAACTGAACCAGGTCCTCTACAAAAACAGCAAGTGCTCTTAACCACTGACCCATTTCTTTAGCCTACCACACCCCTGCATCCCATGTAAACCTATATTCAAAAGGCACTTAAAAGGGAGCTTCCAGATAGGCGGACAGCATTCCCACGGTTCCTTGGACTTTCATATATACACCCTCATCCAAGCATTTTCTCTCTTGATGCATGTCCTGGCCTGGAAAGAAGTGGCCCTGTTCATGTCTTACCTGGGAACCTCAGCTCTGGGACCCCTTCCCAGTATCTCTTCTATGCCTTCCCTACACTCTACTTTGCTGTTATTGGGGTGCTCCAACTCTATTCCCTGACCCCTGACCCCTGCCCTCTGGCCTTCTGTGCAGAGACTACTTATGTCCTGGGGAACTATAAGACAGAGCCATGCAAGAAGCCACCACGGCTGTGTCGTCAGGGCTATGCCTGTCCCTACTACCACAACAGCAAGGACCGGCGGCGGAGTCCCCGGAAGCACAAATACAGGTCCTTTGGCCCCAAGAGGCCAGCCGTGGGAGGGAGGAATGGCAAGGGAGGGGTCGTGGCTGAGAGCGCTACTCCCACGGCTCTCAGGGAGGTGGGAAGCAGGCCTGGAGTTTACAGGGCCAGTTCTAAAGGGAGGGACCACGAAGGATGACGGAATGGTGGGAGCCCTGTCCAGTTCTTGCATGAGGCCGATCCATTTCTGATTCTTCAGGGTGTGTGCTGGAGTGGGGCCAGGCCAGTGTGGAAAATGTGGTGTGGCTGTGGCCTGACTCTTGAGCTGTCAGAGGTTCAATGCCTGGCTGAGGGAGCAAAACTATGTCGTCCTGTGGCCAGCTGGGCCAGAGGAACAGCCAGACTTAGTACCCTAGTAAGACCCTTCCTCTATAGCTGATCTTCCCCGTTTCTGCATCTGAACTTGTAAGAAAGGGAGACAAAAGGGGGCCCCACCCCCGCACAAGGACCCAGGTGGCACTGGGCAGGTCCCGGTCTCATCCTCTCCTGCCCCTGTCTGACCCCTTCTCATTGGACCAGGTCATCTCCATGTCCAAACGTCAAACACGGGGACGAGTGGGGAGACCCTGGCAAGTGTGAAAATGGAGACACCTGCCAGTATTGCCATACCCGCACAGAGCAGCAGTTCCATCCAGAGGTAGGCCTTGAGGGGGGCAGGGGTGACTGACTTACCCACCTCGGGAAACTAGGAGATAGGCAAGAGTGGGGACAAGTGTTGGCACTATTCCAGCAAAGCATGTGTGGGTAGTACCTCAGTATGTAGCCTCTTGTTCTGAGACCACCCTCCCTCAGTTCTCCACTGCCAGTTCATTTCCTAGTTCACCAACCAACCAAGAAGGCATAGATAGGACCCGATAGTCTGGCCATTCTGGACTTTGGACTACTTGTGGTACTTATAATCTACTGACCATGGTAGGTCAGAGCCCATGGGACAGAGACAGCAGCCTCCCTGATGTAGTTCTACCCTCACACTGTTAGTTTACCGCCTCTCCTGTGGTTCCTGGGCCTGCCCTGGTTCTGTGGAAGCCAGGATACAGCAATGTAAAGACAACCTTATGTGGCTGTAGACATCACAGGCAACAGTTAGACCCCGTAGAGATCCAGGTTCCCTGAAGGGAGTTTTGAAAGTGACTCTGGCCTGGCAGTAGTGGCACACACCTTTAATCCCAGCACTCGGGAGACATAGGCAGGCAGATCTCTCTGGGTTCGAGGCCAGCCTGGTCTACAGAGCGAGATACAGAACAGGCACCAAAACTACACAGAGAAACCCTGTCTCGGGAAAGAAAAAAAAAAAGTGACTGTGCTTCCTGAGGCCTTAGTTCACTTAATACGAGGAGGCATGCTCGTAGGTATCACCCCAATCTTTGTGATGACTGGTGGGACCTGTGACTCCAGGAGGAGGGTGTTGATGGTGCACGATGCCCTGAGAGTTGAGGGGGAGGGTGATAAGAAGCTGGGTGTGGTGGTGTGTGACTGTTACCCCACCACACAAGACAGTGAGGCAGGACAGTTATGAGCTGAAGGCAAGCACAGGCTGTATGTCAGTATCCTGTCCCCAGAAAAAGAACATAGGGGAGTAGGAAGGGAGAAAGTGGACAGGAATTCCAAGCTAGCCCTTCTCGATAAAAGTGTCTGTGTGTGGTTGACCTTGTCCTGTTTCTGCCCTGCCCCCTCCAGATCTACAAATCCACCAAGTGCAACGACATGCAGCAGTCGGGTAGCTGTCCCCGAGGACCTTTCTGCGCCTTTGCCCACATAGAACGTATGTGCGAAGTTCCCATGGCCCGGGGCCAGTTCCCTGGCTTCCTTTTCCTCCTGTAACCTCTGCTGAACCTCAGGCATGGGATCAGTCCCTAGCAGTGCCCTGTGCACAGGAATCTTTGTCTGGCCTCATCCCCACTGGAAGTTACAGTCCCCTAGCCAGTCTGGAACTGACCGTGAAGTCCTGGTGCAGCTTCCAAGATCCTGAGATAGACTTAGAGATTCATGCCGTACTGGGCACTGAGTCCCAGGCAAGCCTGAGGCACCAAGTGTTAAAAGCAACTTGACAGATCCCAACCGGCCACCCGTGTAACCCATGAACATGGAGCTCCTCTCTACTGAGCCCTGCTTGGTCCACTGGAACAGAGCCCTCTATCAGAATATAAGGTGGCCCCCATATGGCATTAAAGTTTTGGGTAACATGCTAAAGAGAGAGAGAGACAGACAGGTTAAATTAATTTCAGCGTTTTTACTTTGTCCAATATAAAATGATACCATAGCTGGGTGGTGGTGGTGCATGCCTTTAATACCAGCCCTCAGGAGGCAGAGGCAGGCGGATCTGTGGGTTCGAGGCCAGCCTGGTCTACAGAGCAAGATCCAGGAAAGGAGCAAAGCTACACGGAGAAACCTTGTCGTGGTGGGGGTGGAGGGTAGAGTGTGATAGGTACCAGAGCACTTGCCCTAGCATGCAAGAGGCCCTGGGTTTAACCACAACACTTTGAGGAAAGCAGTCACACAGAAAACAAAATAAACAAACAAACAAACAATATGGTATGAGGGCCTGAGACTGAGGCTCTCGGCAGTGGGCGGGCAGGGCTGGTCCAGGGCAGAACCCTCTCTAGATCTGAGTGTGGTGACACATGGCAAGTGAGAAGCCCTGGGCTGCAGCTGCACTCTGCTGTGTGTGTGTGTGTGTGGGTGGGTGTGTGTGGGTGTGTGTGTGGTGTGTGTGTGTTGGAACTAGGGACCCTGGATGTGGTGGCCCACACCTGCAGTCCCAGCACTCGGAAGGCATCTGGTGGCTGTTTGCTGCAGTGTGAGGTAGCGCAGGTCTAGAGGCTCCGTGTTCTGCTCCAGGCCTCCTCCATCATGAAGTGGGTGCTGGGCTGATGCCTGCCTCACCTGCAGACCAGGGTCCTGCTTCTCACCCTCTTTCTAGGTTCAGCTCTGTCTCTGAGATGAGAGAGAATAAAGAGAGAGCTCTGAGAGGGGAAACAGACGGAGAGCCGAGAGGTAGCTGGCAGCTGTGGGTACTGGACACCCAGCTGCAGCAGCACAGGAGAGTGATGAATAGTTTGGGCTGTACAAAATGGGCTTGAAATGAGCTCGCCTGTCTCCTATCTCTGTTGTCTTAGAAGACTTAGCTGACCTTTCTGAACCTCCATTTCCTTTTCTATGAAGTGAAACTCATCATATTACTTGTATTTTGCAGTTAATTGTAGAAAATACAATGCCAGTGGAAATAGTAACTTAATTCCCCATGGTGGCAGGGACAAGTATGTCCTCCTTTAGAAGATAGGCAGGTAGATATTTGCAGACATAGTCCTGGCTTGGGAGCCTGTTGACCCCTATCCTCTCTTGCAGCGCCACCCTTAAATGATGACATGCAGCCTTCCTCGGCTGTATCCAGCCCCACCCAGGCGGGTCCTGTTTTGTACATGCCATCTGCTGCTGGAGACTCGGTCCCTGTGAGCCCCTCCAGCCCGCATGCCCCTGACCTCAGCGCCGTACGTGCCTGTCTTAGGGAGTGGGTGGGCACCTTGCCTGCCCAGGAGCAAGCTCCTGCCTCTCCTCTGCCCCAGGAGCTTGAGGCACTGGTATTTGTCCTGGGGCTGAGGGCGGGGAGGTGGGGATGCATCTTCAGAGGCAGTAGTGATCAGCCTGGGCAGGGCTGGGATAAGCCTTGTCACTACTGTCTGGCAATCCCTTATGAGGCTGAGGAGTCCTGAGTGCTTATTGTTACCCCTTGACCACTGCCCTTGGAAGCAGGGTTGGAGGGAGGCCATTCCCTGTCCATATTGCACCCATTGCCCACCACCCACCTGTCCTCTTCTGCAGCTCCTCTGTAGGAACAGTGGCCTGGGCAGCCCATCTCACCTCTGCAGCTCCCCACCAGGCCCCAGCAGGAAGGCCTCAAACCTGGAGGGCCTGGTCTTCCCTGGGGAGTCCAGCCTTGCCCCTGGCAGCTACAAGAAAGCTCCTGGCTTCGAGAGGGAGGACCAGGTGGGAGCAGAGTACCTGAAGAGTCTTAAGTGCCAGGTAAAGGGTGCAGGGGCAGCGGAGGACACTGAGCTTGACCTGTTATATGGGGCAAGAGTAGCTTAGAGGTGAGGCCTAGCTCACTGGTGGGAAGGACACTAAGAGCTAGAACTGAGTCTGTCTTCAGCGTCTTCAGGATTTGACAGAGTGGATGCTATCGCCTTGCTTCACTGCTGAGGAGGAGGCTGCACAGAGCCCCTCACACTCTCGGGAATTGTCTCTAGGTTTCCTTCATAAATCCATGTTCATTCTGCAAAAGGCCGCACAGCTTCCCCAGGATCATTGAGTCAGTCAGTGGGTACAAGATTGTCCCCCTTTTCTTTCCAAACTATGGTGCCTAATGAGATGACAGTGCATGGGGCACCAGGACAGAGGGGTCCTTAATAGCAGGGGACAAACCTGTTCAGGATAGGAAGGCAGAGGAGGGGGCGGGGAGAGGATTTGTAAGTGGAGAAAGAAAGCTGGGAAGAGAAAAGGGTCGGTGTGATGGGTGACGGGTGCTGTCAGTCCGTGCCCCTCCCTGTGTCTGCAGCCGCAGTGGGACCTAGCAAGGCCAGGTGGACACTGGGCTGGGAGCTGCCCAGTGCCACATCACTCCCTGCTCCCTACTTTCCCTCTCTCAGGCTAAACTAAAAACCCATTCGCTCGAGCCCAGGAGTCAAGAGCAGCCTCTGCTTCCACCCAAACAGGTACAGAGCCCTTGGTCCTCATCTCCGCTTCTGGTATCACTGTGCATAGGACAGGCCCAGAAGCCCAGCTGGTATCAGCAAGTAGGGTACCAGTTTCTTCACAAACGAAGGCAGGACTAAAGTGGGCCCAGCTCCAAGTCCAGAGAGGGTGGGGGTCTGGCCCTGGAACCCATCCCCTCCTAGACTTACCCATTCACCAGGAATGTTTAGGGAGTGTCTCAGTGTCAGCCCCATGCTCATCCCTCCCTCTACTGTGAGCCTGCAAGGGTAAGTAGCTGATGGCTTCCATGTTTCACTGTCCACTACTACCACTCAACAAGGTGGACTGGGACAGCCAGCCCGGGCCTGTAAGGTGCTGGTTGCTTTAGCCCACCTGCCCTGTGCCAGCCTCCGCCACGGCTTCTGTAGGCAAGCATCCCATTTCCTCTCCCCACTCTCGTTGCAGGACGTGCTGGGCATCCTCCCTGTGGGCAGCCCCCTGACCTCAAGCATCTCTTCCAGTATTACCTCCAGCTTGGCAGCCACGCCCCCCAGCCCTGCAGGCACCAGCAGCGCCCCTGGCATGAATGCAAACGCTCTGCCCTTCTATCCCACCAGCGACACGGTAGAGTCGGTCATAGGTAACTAGGCAGGGTTTGTTTGTGAGCCTAGGACCGCACCTGGACTCAGACACAAGGCGTCTCAAGTGGAACTTGGATGATTGCACCCCATATTTTAGACATCTGGCCTGGGAAAGTCAGGGTAGACACCCTGAGCCCTCTGAGCCAAGACTGGGCCACGGAGCCTTTTCGTGAAAGTTGTGTCACACGGCCCTAGCTTGTTCACTAGGCACCCTTGGGAAGTGAGCAGCCTGCACCTCTGTCCTCAGAATGCTGGCGGTTAGCAGCTAGTGCCGTGAACTGGGCATGTGCAGTTGCAGCATGGGTGCTTAGCATGGGTAAGGCCCTGGGTGTGGTCCTCAGCACCAAGAGGAAAAAAATCAGTGCTCCTTTCCACCATTACTTATGTTGCCCACTTTGTGCCAGGCTCCATGCCAGGCACTGGGGAATCAGATGGTAGTATGGTGCTCCTGCCTTCTGGAAGGGAAACTGTACCTTCTCCTAACCAGGCCAGTTCAGTAAAGAGGCACAGGTATCTACTGTACATTGCTGTCAAAGGGCCCAGAGCGGCTAGCCCCAAGTAACTCGGGGTGAAAAACATGGCCTGGGTGTAAGGACCACACCACATACCTCTGTCAGACAAAGCTGCAACCTTGAATTCAGTCATTTTTCTTCTTGAGATGGGATCTTGCTCTATATAGTCCAGGCTGGTCTCGAACTCTTGGTCCTCCAGCCTCAGCTTTCTGAGTGCAGAGGTTACTGGCATGCCACACCACTCTGGACAGGGTTGGGTCTTGACTCCTCCTAGGAGTGTCAGAGGAGGCTTCAGAGAGAAGCAGCGCTTGGCTGGACTGGGCAGGTGTCACCAGGGTTGGTGTGGGTTAGTGCTGAGCAGAGATACAGCAAAGGCCGTAAATGAAGGAGTCAAGGTCAGGAAGCCTGGAGCCAAGGACATGGTCCTTGGGAGCCCACACTCCATTCTCTATCCCTAGAGTCTGCCCTGGATGACCTGGACCTAAATGAGTTTGGAGTAGCCGCCCTGGAGAAGACTTTTGATAACAACACAGTGCCCCACCCCAGCAGCATCACAATCGGTACTGGGCAATGGGTGGGCCAGGATGGCCTGGGGAGGGGGTCTGGGGGTTTCACCTGTACCCGTGTGGCCTGCCTGGTCCTCACCCAGCCCATCCTCTGGCTCTCTCATAGGTGGCAGTTTGTTGCAGAGCTCTGCACCTGTGAACATCCCTGGCTCCTTAGGCAGTTCAGCCTCCTTCCACTCCGCTTCTCCGTCCCCTCCTGTCAGCCTCTCCTCACATTTCCTGCAACAGCCCCAGGGCCACTTGAGTCAGTCAGAAAACACATTTTTGGGGACCTCAGCATCACATGGATCTTTGGGTAAGGAAGGGACTGGATAAGAACCTAGTGCCTTGTAGCAGATTCCCTTGGCTGCTCTGCCCACGACACGTGAGCCCAGCTGTAGGCTACAGCGAGGGCTTCAAACTAGACATGTTCTCTCCCCGTGCTTGTGAAGACTCGTGCTAGGACAGGCTGGCACCTGGAGAGGCAGGCCTCAGTATCCAAGGTGAAGGCCTGAGCATACTAGTGTGGCTTAGTGAGCACTGGCCTAGCATGTACCAGACCCTGGGTCCGATCCCCAGGGCCAAACACACAATCATTTTATCCAGTCACCCAGAGCTCCTGGCAGCTGGCCACATCATCAAAGACCACCAAAGAGCAAAGGGAACGGTTAGACAGGCCCACCCAGTCTCAAGCTTTCCCTTCCTGGCAGGGACAGGCATCAGGGATCCAGATCTAGCTCAGGCTGCTCTTTGCCCTACTCAGCCTTCGAACAGAGTGGGTCTGAGTGATTTCCAGGTTCAGTGGTGAGAAATACCGCAGGGAGACTTATAGGCTAGACCACCACACCCAAGCACCCTTGGCTCCTGGAATGGAGCCTATGGGAGAACGTTCTCTGAGATAGTTAATACATACACAACATTCAGCACAGGCCCCTGTCTTTCATCTACAACTGCCTGACCCCACTTCCTAGCCATTCAGAGAGCTCCTAGGATGCTGGACCTCCAGTCAGAGGATGGACTAAGAGCCTCTGAAGTTCTGGTCAGCCTAGGGGCCTCCCTCACCTCAGCCAGGAGTCTGCAGCAGCACCTCCTCAATTCAGAGGAGGCTTCTGTGTTGTGGTTATGTACAGTTAAAGCTGCTGTGTCTCTGGAGTCCTCACCTGAGCTCTCCCCACTGGCTCTACACGTCCCCTTGCTGGTGACCCTCCTGCACTGCTGCTCAGATGCACGTGTCGGCCAGCAGCCTCCGGTCAGCAGCGCAGGAAGCAGAAACACACAGATGCTGGCTCCCAGTCAGGGCGACACGGGATCTACTGTACAGGGTTCTCTCTGTAGGACCGACCAGCTCCACTGCCAGAGTGGTTGACAGCGGCATGGGGAGGGCAGAGGTGCAGGGGAGCAGAGCCTGCTGCACACCAGCGTTTGTGTCGGTGGGCCAGAGGTCTCCTGGTAGAGAGGTCCACACAGTGCACTGCAGGTGTGTCGCAGGACAAAAGCGCTCCTCTTGATCGCTCGCTCTTGGTTTTTTGAGACAGGGTTTCTTTGTGTAGCTCCGGCTGTCATGGAACTCAGAGATCCACCTGCCCCTGCCTCCCGAGTGCTGGGATTAAAGGCGTGCGCCGCCAATGCCCCGCACTCTCCCTCCTTGGTCTTATTATGTAGCACTGGATAGCCTCAAACTCAGAAATCTGCATGAAGTGTGCACCAGAGTCGTCTTTTTTCCCCAGTGTGCTGGTATTGCTCAGAGGGGGAAATGTCTGAAATCCAGCTCAGTTAGTGGAAAGGAAAGGGAGCCAAGCAGAGGTCACTGGAATCATATGTAGGGGTAGAAGGAAGCCAGAGGTAGAGAAGGAACTCCATGAAGATAGGCTCTGCCCTGGGAGCCAGAGGGCAGTGGATAGTGTCAGCAGTGGCTGAGTGGGGGCTGAGGGGTGGGCAGCCTAGCTGACAGCAGGCTTCTGGAATCAGGTGATCAGACTCTCCTGGTTCTCCTGTCCCATTAATGGTTCTTGCTAGCATGTTCTTTGTCCTGCCTGCAAAACAATGAGAGGGCCCTAGCTTCCCGGGCCCCTCCTCTTGCAGCCCTCCCATCAAGGTGCTGGCTGGTGGCTTTTAGCCTGTCTGATCTTGTCCCACCTCTCACTGGGATGCAAAAGGAGGTGTGCAGTAGCTCAGCAATTAAGATGCCTTCACAGATTGCTGTCCCACACAGTCCTAAGCCCCCTGAGGCCCCTTTAGAGATGAAGACACTGAGATTCACATGTAGTGGTAGATAACAGCAAAGTTTAGACCTGACTCAGCCAGTGATACCTCCACATGCTCTTCTCACATATTCACCCAATGTTCAGCCAGCCCCTGGCGGCCCAAGAGGGGCTGGCCAGGGCCTGGGCCTAAGCCCTCCACAGCTGATGTTCCTCCCCTCCCTGGGGCAGGTCTGAACGGGATGAACAGCAGCATCTGGGAGCATTTTGCCTCTGGAAGCTTCTCCCCAGGCACTTCCCCTGCCTTCCTATCAGGGCCAGGGGCTGCTGAGCTGGCCCGGCTTCGGCAAGAGCTAGATGAAGCTAACGGCACCATCAAGCAGTGGGAGGAGTCCTGGAAGCAGGCCAAGCAGGTACTGGGCCCCACGCCCACCTGCAGTGCCCAGTGCCTGGTGGTATCAAGCCCAAGCCCATCCTACACAGCAGGCATCGGGTGGGGGAAGCAGGGGCCTAAAGAACAGCAGAAACGTGTTTGCCCTCCCCCACGTGGGAGGACTGATCTTGCCAGTCAGAATGTTACCATGGCTGGCACCACAGGCCTGGGACTCCATATGGGAATTGTTTTTAGAGTGGCCCCAGGACCTCCTGCCTGTCTCTGCTTCTAGATTCTGAGCTAGGCCATCTGTCCAGCTGCCACCAGCTGCCCGTGGGGATGCAGGCTAGGATGTGAGCCCTGCCTTGTGCCCCTGTCATGCTAGGCCTGGCCCCTTCCCTGCATACAAAGGGAGGGTCTGCTGAGGTCCTGAAACCTTTCTTCTCTGCAGGCAGCAGTAGTCTTCTCTCTGCCCCTCCCCAGACAGCAGGCCCAGCTTCCTAGCAGGCCCCATAGCCAGAGTGCTCCACACTGGCTCCTGGAGATGCTCTCTGGGAGGGGGGAGGGGAGGGGGACAGGGGCAGGGGGCTGTCGTGATGAGACACTGCACATTGGGCCCACAGGCTTGTGATGCCTGGAAGAAGGAGGCGGAGGAGGCTGGTGAGCGAGCCAGTGCGGCCGGAGCTGAGTGTGAGCTGGCCCGGGAGCAGAGGGACGCACTGGAGCTGCGGGTGAAGAAACTGCAGGAGGAGCTGGAGCGGCTGCACACTGGGCCAGAAGCCCAAGCTCTGCCAGCCGCCCCTGACCTGGAGGCACTCTCACTCTCCACCCTGTACTCCCTCCAGAAGCAGCTGCGGGTCCACCTGGAGCAAGTGGACAAGGTCAGCCCTAGAGATCAGGATGGGTGGGACCTTGAAAGCCCAGTGCTGGGCTCTTAATGATGCTCAGCTGTTGGAAGAGGAGGAGAGAATGCCCTCGAGGAGAGCAAGAAAGCCGTAGTGGCAGAGGCCAGTGTCCACTCCCTGTACTGTTAACCTAAGCTTAGTCATGTCCCTTGCCCACAGTGCCTTCCCCGGTTCTCCATACTCCAGTAGACATTCCAGAGTGGTCAGCCACAGGTGCCTGCTGGTCCCTAAGGGTGGCTTGTCCAATAGAAACAGTCGGTTTTTCCTCTGAGAGCCTTCCACAACGAGTCCCCTTGGCGAGTCCCCTGAGCCTCATGGTCTTTCTTGGTGCCTAGGGTAAGATCACATATGACAAGAGGCATTAACCTCTGTGCCAACAAAAGCCCTGAATGATGGGCTGCCACCCAGCTGCCCCTCCACCTGGCCATTGAGAGCTGGGACAGCAGGTGGAGTTGGGAGCTGAGCTGCTCTCGCTGGCCAGTAGGATCTTGTGAGTGCTGAGCTTCGGGCTCCAAGGACGCTGAAGCGAGAGTCGAGAGGGCTGCTTGCTCAACTCAGTGCCAAGCCGGTGGCAGAGACCACTTTATGACCTTAATGTCATATTTCCCACAGGCCGTGTTCCACATGCAGTCGGTGAAATGCCTTAAGTGTCAGGAGCAGACCCGGGCAGTGCTGCCGTGCCAACATGCTGTGCTGTGTGAGCTCTGTGCTGAGGGCAGCGAGTGCCCCGTCTGCCAGCCTAGCCGGGCCCATGCCCTCCAGTCGTGACCCTGCAGACCTGGCCCAGCTGGGCCCAGACCTTTTCACCTAGGACTTTTTAAAGTATATATATGTATGTATGTATGTATGTACGTATGTATGTATATGTATATGATTATGTACATGTATACATTTCTGTGTGCGTGGTGCCAGCGTGTGCACAGTGTCTGTGTGTGTCTGGATCTAGATATAGACACACACTTTAAAACAGACTTACCAAGCACTTTTTAAAGAAAAGACTATTTTGCAGTCCTCTCCTGTCCATTCCCCATCCTTCCTGCTCAGAGACAAAGTCCCCTCTTTTCCCACTGGCCTTTGGCAGTGAATATGTTTTTGTCTCTTTTTTTATGTAAGAACTAACTATTTTTAACTTCTTCCTGGGGCCAGAGCATGGAAGGATGGGAAGCTGGAAGGGCAGGCTCTGTTCACCCTGCATTCCAGGCCAGGGTCTATGTCGCAGTGTGGACTCAGGTCCCCGGTTCCCAGCTGTGAGGGCTTCAGGGCCCGAGACTCTAAAGCCAGCCTAGCTTCTGGGTTTACCAAATATATTTAACCCTGGGGACAGCCACGGAGCTGGCAGGCCAGAGCTGCAGGCTAGCCCCCCTCCCACACGTGGGCCCTAGGCCTAGTTCTGTCTGTTCCCTCGGGATCTTGAAGTCTGGGCCTCTCCTTGATCAGCCTCTTTGGCCCCACAGTCACTTGCCAGGCTGGCACTGCCCTCCCTGTCCCTGCCTCCTTCCCTCTGGCACATGGCTGCAGGGCCGGTGGCTCCCTCCCTCTGGCAGCTAGCAGGGCGATTGTTGGGAGAAGTGCAGTCTGAGGACCAAGGGGGCTCAAGCCCTGCCCTTCTTGCTGGGAAGAGTTGTATGCATTCCTTGGTGCTCTTTGAGTGCAGCTGACGTACTGCCATTCTGGGCAGACGCCTGTGTGCATGTGTGTGCGTGCCTGTCCAATGTATATTGTGTTTAGCTTCAATTTTAAAAATTGTTATGTACAGAGATGCAGTGGAATGGGAAAGCAGAGTGGGCAGAGGGAGGCAGCCTGTTCCCAGCACTGGGTGTCCAGTGGGCTATAGAGGGCCACAAAAAATCTGCCCCAGCCCAGGCCCCTCCCTTGGGCTCAGCACGAAAGGGCTTTCAATGAATTAAGTGAAATTTTCTCCTTTTTTACAAAAATGCAAAAATCAAACTTATTGGAAATAAACTATGACTTGCGGTGGCTTGTTTATGTGGGGGACTGGGTCAGCAGATGACGACATCCAGACTTCCAGGTGAGCAAGAGCTCTCCCCTGACCTGTGGAAACAGCTAGCACCCACATCCCACAGCGTGAAGAGTCAGCTGAAGAGGCCTACAGTCTGTCCAGTTCCAAACGCTGCTGAGTGTCCCCGAGTCCGGCCTAGTGTGTGATCATTACTGTGGAGACCTGTTCAGTGCTGTGTAATGTACTGTGAGTGGTTCCCTTATTGGTGGTCTCCAAAAAGTAATAGGGACAGAAAGGAGGAGCACGTTACTGAGGGAGTCCCTGCCTCCTTCCCACTGAGGAAGTGTCCTGCCTTAGGTAAACCCTTTTACCCTGCTCCCCTCCTGACGTTCTCCCGAGTATGAGAACACACCTAAGCAGGATGCTCGGCCTGGCCTCAGCTGGCCTTACCACCTACTTGTCAGCGTGTGCAGACTAACTTCACCAGGGTCAAGTGTGAAGACCACTAGCCCTGAAGCTCTGACTGCCAGTGTTCAGGAGACCCTCCACACACACTCTGCTGTCCAGAGCAGCTACTCAGCTTCGTGGTCCCCCTCCCCAACATCAGCAATCATAGTAACTGCCAGGTAATCTGTTCAAAGGTGACAGCCCGAGATTGATCCTGGCACCCGTGGTAGGAGACCCACCTCCTGACCCACGCACACTGACTGCTCCAGGACTGCTCAGGTGTCGGCTTACTCTGACCTGCTTATTGGCCACAGGGGCTCTGGGGATGAGGTGGGGCATACAGTGTAGTCTAAGGAAGAGTCAGGCATGCAGGGCCTGGCATCTTCCTGGGCCCACTGGGAGCCAACTATAGGTTTTCTGAGGGCAGTGGCTAGTGTTTTATTTTTATTTTTCACTAAGAACATTTCTAGGTAGCAGGTGCTGTCTGAGGGAGGAAGCCCACTCTGTAGACAGCCAAACTGTCCTTTCTGCCACTGTCCATCTGTGCCAGCTCTGCTTCCTGCCAGCTCTCACCTCTGAGCCAGAGTCTCTTCCCACCCCCCTCGTGCACCAGGGTGACTTTGACAGGATTCTCTCTCCCTCTAAAGTCTGTGCACAGCCCTGGTCCCAACTGTGGGCCCCACCCCAGTAGCTGGAACTGGCCATCCCTGAAGGCAGATGTCCCTAGACAAACCTTACCAAAGCAGCTTTTTCAGGGGGAGGAGCAGGGATGGGAGATGCTCCTCTGTGCTGGGATATAGCAGAGGACACTGAGACCAGGGCGAGAGGGAAGGACGAGAGATGATAAATACCCGGGTGGTGGTGCTGCACATGTTTAATCCCAGCACTCTAGAGGCAGGCGGATCTCTATAGAGTTTGAGCCATCCTGGTCTACAGAGAGAGTTCCAGGACAGCCAGAGCTACACAGAGAGACTCAGTCTTAAAAAAAAAAAAAGGTAAATACTGGTCATGGCACTCCATCACCAAGGGCTGTTCTGGCTCTCCCTGTGTGTCACACCAGGGTGAAGGGCTTCCCTCTGTCAGGAAGAGCCCAAGCTTTCAGGCTTCCCCTGTTTACACTGCTACCGCCCTAGCTGTGAGGCATGCTGGGAAGCCTGCTTGGCTCGCTGCCTCCTCAGCTTTATGAAGGCCTGGGCCTCTCGATCGCTCTTCCGGCTCTCCAACAGCTGCAAAATTGGATCCCCTGTGTAGAGAAAGGTTTGAGAGTCAAACACCTGGTTAGGAAATAGCACTGTTCCACCCCTGTGCCGACCTTGGGAATTGTGGACACGCACCAGCTAAATTCACGGGTATGTCTTGACAAACAGGGCTGGAAACATGGCAGGTCCTGGGGTGGTGACTACTGCCTTTTTTGTTTAAGACAGGATCCAGCTGTGTGTGGTGGCACATGCCTTTGATCCTGTCACTGAGGAGGCAGAGGCAGGTGGATCTCTGTGTGGTTCTTGGCTAGCCTGGTCTGCAAAGCGAGTTCCAGGACAGCCAGGGCTACACAGAGATGCCCTCTCTCAAAAAAAAAAAAAAAAAAAAAAAAAAAAAAAAAAAACAGGGTCCTTATTATGTGGCTCCGGTTGGCCTCAAGCTGACAGAGTTCCACCTGTCTTGTGGGTGCTGGGTTTAAAGGGGTGTGTCATCACACCTAGCCTTAAGATAGTTTAGAGTGTCTCATGACACAGACAGAGGCATAGGGACCTTCCTGTTATCAAACTTGGCCTGCACCACAGGATGTGTGCCCTGCACAGAGATCCAGGCCCCTTGTCACAGGGACTAATTGGTTTCCCCACCAGAAGTCACATAATCCTTCCTGAACTTGAATTTCACTGGCCTCTCCAGTAGAGCAGAGACTTGCTGAAATACTCAGCAATATGAGCCATAGTGCTCGTTCTACTGGCTTCCATCTCCCAAGAAGGCATCTCTCTGGAGACTGTGCCAGAGAGCCCTGCCCTGGGATTCAGGCCTACCGTTGGGTGCAGGGTATGTGAGAGGCAGGCGAGTCTGAGGTGCTTCACTAGGCTCTTCACAACCAGTCAGTCCAGGCACCCTGCAGAGTGGCAGGAAGGCCTCCCCCTCCAGGTCATCAGCGCCCAGAGTGTCATGGTCAAGCACAGTGAACAGGAGGCATGCCCAGGCTTTTTGGCATGGCTCAGCAGGCACCAGGCTGGCAGGGAGTCAGGGGCTCAGTTAGTTGTCTGCCTCACTCAAATCTGCCATCAACAGTCCCTCCCTCCCAACATATTGGGCACCCTTTGCTGAGAACAACAGTTGGATCTCAACCTGGCTCGTCTCTGTCACATGTTATAACACCCACTCTGATCATGGGCTGATTTTACAGCAAGAGGTCCTGCGGCCCCAAGGCCCATATTCAACAAAGAGCAGGTACCCAAGTACCCGGTCGGATACAGCATCCTTCCTGAATGCCTCTGTATTGGGTGGGAATCCACCCCCCTTTCTCCTAGGGAAGCAAACACCTATTCGGAAGACTTCCCTTCAGGCCCAATGTGGTCATCTCAAGCTCTCCTCAGAGGAGGCAGGGGTTATGAGGGAGGAAAAAAAGGGGGAGGGGCTGAGAGATGAGTAGGGACTCACAATTCAAAGGTCTCATCAAAGAGTGGGTGAAGTTCCTTCTTATGCTTCTGGGTCTCCCTGGGGGCCAGCTCAGGGAATTCATGTCTGGGTTCCAGCGTCAGTTGAACAAAGGGGTCACTGGAACCTGGCAAGTGGCCCATGGGGGGCGGGGGTTGCTGACTGAGTTCCAGCCACCACCACACCCCACACTGCCCCCTCCCCACAACTGTTCTCCCTTAGCCCCTCCTGGTAACTAGAGGAAATGCGCTTAGGGCTCCTGCTGAGCCTCCAGGGTGCTAGTGAGGAGAGGCCTAGGGAAGTGTCCACTCACCATTGGAGTCCAGGGGCAGGAGGCTAGAGGCACTGAGCAACTCTACGTGAAGCTTCTGCTCAGAGGCTCGGTAGGAGGCCTTGATGGTGACTGCACCCAGCTGCTCAGAAGTGGTTTCAGCCTGGCATGGGATCACACATAGGGATCAACTGGGAGGGAGTGGGGGCAAGGCCCACTATGCTCCTCAGTGGGAGCTCGGCAGGAGGAGCACCTCACCTGCTGCTGAATTCGGCTACAGAAGTACTTCTGGATGAGCTCCCGGCTGGAGGCTGCCTGCAGCTCCAGGTCCTTCTGCAAAGCCTGGAATGGCATGGCATATCAGAGCATCCACCTAAACATCTTCATGCCTACCCACATTGATGCTGCGGCCAGGCACTCAGACAGGGGAAGATGTGACAGGAAGTGCTGGGGCCCTAGGGCCACAGAAGATCCTGTGGACCTAGGACCAGATCCTGAGGCAGAGGTATCAGATGACCTGCTCTGGAAGTATAATCTCCCCGGTGCAGGTATGTAGGGACCCTTTGCCTTGAAGGACACTATATTTGGATTATTTACTTCCTGCAAGCATCACAAAATTTGTAATAATTTTGAATAAGAGGCCCAACTTAATATTGCACTTGCTTTCATGAATTACGTGGCTGTTCCTGGATACAGGTAAATACAGAAAGACAGGTTCCCTGCCTTGACCTCCTATCAGGGGCTTATCAAGAGGCCCTAACAAGGCTCTGGCGTCATTCCCCCACACTGCTAAGACTCTTACCTGGAAGGTGGCTGTGTGCAGGGCCTCTGGTGGCAGACCACAACCCTCAGCATGGAAGCAGATCTCCAGGTTCTGGGAAAGAGAAAAGAGATGACTCCAGGCACTCCCAGGGCTAATATCCTCGCAGCCGGTATAGTTACCTGAAGGGCTTCCTTCAGTCTGCTGGAGGCCAGTGATGAGCTACGCTGGGAAGAGGCCACTTCCACCAGCACCGTGAGTGTGTGGGTCCACAGCAGGGTCAGAAGGCTGGCCGGAGAAAGACGGGGGCCGGACATAGCACAGTACAACAGGGGAGGAAGAAAAGATGCTCTTAGAAAGGAGGGCCTCGGGAGCCCAGGCTCACTCTGCCTCCCGCTTCCACCAGTTCCACACGTGAGGCTCGGGCAGAGCTGGCAGATAGTGCACAGAGGAAGAGCCGCTCCCAGAGTGGAAAGGGGGCAGGCCAAGGGAGTCATCAATCCTGTCCAATGTGTCTCTTAACCTCAGTGGAGAACCCTCTTCAATGGAGCACGGGTCTCCAGCAAACCACTAAAGAGTGGCGGAGAAAGCTGGACCTCAGGATGGGATAGGATTGTGGCGCACAGCATGGGTAAGGAAAATAAAATGACAAGGACACAGACTGACAGCCTCCTGAAATTAAACATGCACCACTGTCAGCTAACAGGTCCTCTGTCCTGATGATGGAGGAGGCCTGAGATGGGGGCATAGCCCAGGGGTACAACACTTGCCTAGCATGTGGGGAAGGAGGCCTTCATTTAAAGTAGTGAGTGAATTCATTTAACAGCATCAGGTACTGTTCTAGATGTTTCTGAGCAAAGCTCCTGTCTTAGTGGAGAGTTAATTCTCGCTTATGT